GGGCAAGAAAAGAAATCTGTCCATGACTAGTTCTAGCACCCCCCCCCCCCCCGAATGGGAGTTTTCAACTTTGATGTTTTTCTTTCTTTCTTTCTTTTATTTTTTTTGCTTGACAAATATTTTTCAGTGAAGAAGAAATAAATAATCTGTCCTTGTTTTTTTTTTCTTTTTGGAAATAAAGAATCTGCCCTTCACCGACATGAAAATAAACAATCTGACTAAAATTTACCATCCCTCTCTCCCTCAGAATCAAATAGTTGTCCCCTAACAGGAGGTCAGTGTCGCTAAAAAAAATTGTCTATATGTTTCATCGTGCCTTAGCAGTATTTGATTTGTGATAAATTTGTAGATCTATATAATTTAAAAATGTCCTTTTTAAAAATAAAGTTTAATCTTTTGATGTAACAGATGTATTTGCAATTTTTTTTTAAAGTAATGGCTTATTTATTAATTAAAAAAAACCCCTCTTAATTCAAATACGATCAACGGAAAAAAAGATCAGTTGAACCTTGTGTCCATATCGTTTAGCGATACCAAGTGAAAACAAATCAATCGCAATTTCTCGGGCCTTTCCGACAAGCCGAAAAACAACATTGCTTAAATAATATAACACTAAACTACCAATTCCAAGAAAAGTTAAAGCTAAATAATGATATACTGAAGAATTTAATAATTTAACAAAAATCATCGCAGATTTCTTTTTCATTGTGACGTCATAATCAAATGTGCACAAGAAAGTCGCCCAAATCATATAAATTGCGTACCCAGTTTTAACGACGTCAGCAAACCCGCGACCTAAGTTAAGTGACACGATTGATTGATTGATTGTTTGTTGTTTTACGTCCCATTCGAGAATTTTTCACTCATATAAAGACGTCACCAAATACCGGTAAAGGGCTTCAAATTTTGACCTTTACTTGCCACTCAGGGCGATTGAGCAGTGAGGGATCTTTATCGTGCCAACGTCTACCGTGACATGGGGCGTCGATTTTTAAGGTCTCATCCGAAGGACCCGCAACTTTCACTTCAAAGTACCGAGCGCGTGGCGAAGGACCTGTTGCTACCCATTTTTTTTTTTATCGACTTAGGTCAGTCGCGGCCGATATTCGAACTCACAAACTTCCGATCACGGAGCGAACGCTCTACCGACTGAGCTACCTTGAACGGTCAAAACGAATTACTGGAGTTGTAAATAAATAGGACATGTTAGACACAAGAGGCCAATCAGTGTTACGCGATAATACTCCTCTAATTTACCTGGAGTAACAGATAAAAAAATGCCGGGAAGTGAGCACGCAATGCAAGTGTGAAAATTGTTTTTGCGTTAATTTGACAGTGTTTGTATTAGAAATTTACAATGTTCATGAATAAAGTCTACAACATTACATATGTATTTTGACATTCTTTTTTTTTTTTCCTTTTTAGTTTTCAGATCAACCTGGCTTTAGGCGACATAAACTACACAGCTCTAGTTAACTGCTAACACCGTAGAAATGTTGAACTCACAAGGTATTATAATTACATGCATACTAGTATATACTAAAACGGCCTTTTCGCTAGGTTAAATTCAGCTCCAATATAGAAAACGTTTTCTTTGAGCCTTACGATGGATTAACTTTATTTACTATTGTTATCATTGACCGTTTTTGATTTTTAAAAAGTTTATCAAATTTTTTGTTTTGACTATGCCTAATTGTTGGAATATAAAAATCTCTATGTATATTGATCAATTAAATTATTTCTATAGATTTAACAATTGTAACATAGATATGTCATGTTAATTAGTTAAATATTTCAGTTTCAAAATAATTACAGACCCCATTGTGAGAGCAACGGCAGTTAATAACCTAATAAATATGGAGGTCGAATCCCCAGAAACAACTAGTTTGTTATTTACTTATGAGTGACTCAAGTGACTTATTGCTATCTGTTTTCATCCGTCGTCGTGCATCGTCAGTCGTCGTGTGTTAACATTTGAACATTTTCAGCTTCTTCTCTAAAACCGCTAAACCAGTTTCAACCAATTTTGGCATATAACATTTATGAGAGAAGAAGATTTGTGAATTTCATGGTCCCTGCCCACCTGGGGACTAATGGGTGGGGCTAAAACTACCAAAATTAATGACATCTTTAAAAATCTTCTTCTCTTCTCCTGGACATCAATCATTCAAACTGTTGGCTTGATTGTAACAAACATTGACAAACAAATTAAGTACATAGTAATGATGTACAAAGATGCTTCTTCCTAAATTTCATGGCCCCTGGGTCAGGGGTACTGGTGTTAGTGCGGGGCTCTATTGAATATATGAAAATGCATGAATTCTTTGAAAATCTTCTTCTCTGCTCCTGGGTATTATGTAAAGAAAGTGAGTGCATTGTAATGATAAGCAAGGATGCCTCTTCCAAGATTGTGAAATTCATGGCTCCAGGGTCGGGGGTTCTGGTGAAAGGGCGGGGGGGGGGGGGCTATAATTGATTATATAGTGAAAAAGCATAATTTCTTTAAAAGTATTCTTTTCTGTACCTGGTTATAAAGCAAAGAAACTAAATGTATAGCTATGATGAGCAAGAGTGATATTTCCAGAATTGTGATTTTCATTGCCCCTGGGTCAGACGATCTGGTGTAAGGGTGGGGCTCTATTGATAATATAATGAAAATGCATTAATTTTATTTAAAAATCCCGTCTGCTCCTTCGCAGTACAGTTAAGGCAACATTCTCTATAAAAAGGCACCAAAAACGAGACACTTAAAGTTCAACCGTCTTATTTTTTAGCATGAAACTCTATCTGAAATATCTTAATGGCTTTATGAAGAGTTTGTCCATCGCTTTTCACATCGGTATTTTTTGTCATCATGTGACCCTCTACAGTCACGTGAGCTCCGATTTTAGGTCAAAATATGAAATGTCAAATTTAACCAAAAAGTGCAAGGGCAAGGCAAACAATATTTGAACTGTACAATGTTTCATTGTGTCCCTTAGTATCTATCCTATCGAAAAACTGATGCTCATTCAGTCAGATTTCTGAGATATTTAAGTTATTCATTGAAAACAAACACCAGTATTCAAAAATAGGGTATTTTTCATCATTTAATCGGAAATTTTAAATTGCCTAATGAATTACAAAGAAATGAGCATCACTTTTTAAAAACTATACAGTAAAATAAAGAATTTAAAATAAAAACCTACCTCTTGGGTTGTCGCCTTGCCCTTGCACTTTTTGATTAAAAATTGAAATCTTAACACATTCATTCTAAATATAGTTTTCAAACGCATCATTGACCCAGCATGGGAGATAACTCTGTGATACTTAAAAGAGTTTGTGTACCTCGCAAATTTTGAACAAATAATACCTACGGACTGTGCTGGGCTTTATTTCATTAAATCAAATTGGTATGCATAAAAAAATCCTTGACTTTACTTTATTTTGTATATCTTCGTTCTTTTATACGATACACAAGACGTATTTGACACCTACCGCATTTCCTCCGTTCGTCAACAATAGGCCTAAAATTTGCCGCAGCATCAAGTAAATCAATTGGAAAATGCCCATGGTTAAAAATATTGAAAGATTCAATCATTCGTAATAAAAAAAATAGACAGCCGCTATCAATGATAAAATATTTATTCTCCCCCAGTAGACACACACACATAATATCTCCAACAGAACTTAGTTGTTTGTTTTGTTTTGTTTTGTTTTTTTACATATGTGATTATTTTAGTTATCAAACCTTCAACTGTTTAGGGATTCTAGACTACGTGAAAAGTTTTAAGAACAGGAGGAAGGGATTGGGGTGGTTACTCCTGTATTTAATAACCTGTTTTCCTTTCTACACATAGGCGTCGGAAGCAAATTAAAAGTGGGGTGGCTAATTGAAAGTGGGGGGGGGGGAGCTAATCCAACGAAAAAAGGTAAGCCCCAATTTTCAATGCCAATATTATGTATATCTTTGCAAAAAAGGGGGGGGGGCTGAGCCCCCTACCCCCCCCCCCGTTCCGACGCCTATGCTACAGATCTACACCCCCCTTCCTTTGATGCCATTTACCTTACTTGCATGTAAAAAATAAATTATTAAACAGTGTTTACATCAGGTTTTACTTTTTGGGGTATTTAGCACAAATCACATTGGGGGAGGGGGGCTTTAGTCTCATTTTTTTTAGTTATTATCAATCCATGCGCAAACAAGATAATCATAGTAAAACTTTGTAATCAAGAAACATAGCTGTTAAAGAACAGGTGAGCACAATATACATGCTAAAATTTAGATCTTGTTGGTACCCAAAAACACAGACAGGCGCGTAAACAGGCGCGTAACCAGAATGGAAGTGAAATGTACGCAGAGAACGGCTGGGGTCCGCTTTGAGAACCCCCGTTGGTCCAGGGCGAAGCCCTGACGAGGACCTAGGGGCAAAGTCCCTGGAAGCTCATGGGTTTTACTAAATATTTCATTCAAAATCATGCCATTTCGATTTTCTTTAGAAAATACAAGACATAGTACTTAATATTGTTTTTATCACAAAGTTAAATACTTCCGTGCAAATTTATTGTACAGAGGCTGAATATCTTTTAAAATGATATATTGGTATCATCTACTCTTTTTTAACTTTCAACAACAAATATAATTAATTTCAATTATTAACAAAATAATTTTATATTTCAAATCATATTCTAGTGGATCACAGCATTCAATGGTTGATATTTTCTCAAAGATCTTTAAAAAAAATTATCAATGTGTTATAGAAGAATTACAAATTAATAAATGTTTTATTTGGTTGTGGCAATGATTTAATAAAACATTACAATTTTTTTTATAAAGACATGGTAATATAAAATTTGAATTTGAATCGAAACAGTACGAGATAAAATAATTTGAAACACAAATATTTGCTGAATGGTATTGATATTTTTTCTCTTCTCACAAATCTCTTCCTTTCCTCCCCCCCCCCCCCCCATTTTTTTTAATTTGAAAACGATGTGTACACATCTGCGTATTTGCGTATAGGTAGCTACGCGCCTGTCAGAATACATTCAAGTAAAGATATTCAAATCTTAACAGCCTTCAAACTTTCACACCATTGTACTGTTAAAAATTCAAAGTATTATTTATCTAGAAAATTTATTTAATTAAAAACAGCTTTTCAAATTCAAAGGCAGGCTGTGAATGGATTTCTGAGCAGGTGCAAAATATTTCAAACAGTCCACAGTTCAAACAGTTCTTCTGGATGAAATCAATTCTGAAAACAAAATGAAATACCATTATGGAAAGTTCATTGGTGTTTTAAAAAAAGTGATACTCAAAACAATGCATTGAGTAACATGGAAAGCATATACATGACTCTGCTATTTTTATTATCAAAACATTTCAATAATCTTGCTAGGAATATGTATGGTTTAGAGCTTATATGGAGCATACCTTTTCATTTTATTGGTGGAAACACTTGCTGCCTGAATGAATTGTTCAAATTGTTTGGGAGTAGCTACAATACAATATATATGTAATGAGTGAAAAACATAATGATTACCATTGTAGAATGAAATGACATTGCATTGTACAAAACAAACCATGCTATACTATATTTTCTGAAATTCATAAAATAAATGGAAACAAACTTTTGATACTAAACTTTTCTGGGAAATTAAAACCTATGACATTTGCAAAAGTAGAATTGATCTGATTGATACTTAATTTAAGTAAAAAAAAAAAATCAATATACTAGAGATAACATTAAATTCTTTCACATATACATTAAAAAAAAAAAATTTAACACTGGCATACTATAAAATTAATGTGAAATGCTTTAGTGTGATCATACCCAGTGGAGAAATTGATGCATCTATTTTGATAGTTCTAGCTGATGTAAATGCCAGTTTTAACCAGTTCTGTGACAGCTACAATGACAAAAGAATTATACATATAAACAGCACATAAATACATGTATATACATATAAGACTGACTTAATGTACATGTAGTCAGACAAATGAAAATTCAAACATTTTATCTTCATTAATGTAGAAATTCTACAAATTTACAGCCTAGTGAGACAGATAGTAAAAGTTCTATGATGAATTTAAAATATGAAGCACTGGTAAAAACTGAAATCTTTAAATTCACATATTTTTGATTGCCAGAGGTATAAATTGAAATTTATAGGGTCTTATACTCTTGTATTTACAGTGCAAATACATTGTACACTGTTCATTTTGAATTCACAAATACATTGTAAGTGTGACTGCATCTAAATTATACTATTTGGTATCATGACGTGCTGTGCTTATATTATGTTACATGTTTGTACATGTATGCCAAAGGACAACATCATTGCATGTTTAAAAGTGTGCAACTTTCATAATGTGTGTGTTTTTGTGTATGTATGGGGGGGGGGGGCACACAAGGCACTGCATTGCATAGTTTGTGACGGACAGTAATAATACATCTTACTGTACATGTTCACGGTTATTTTACATCGATGTAAAGAATAGTATGTCTACATGTTAATAACTATGCACATACACACCTTAATAAACAGAAAGGGACCTAGGGAGGTAGTGCGGATCGTCTCAGTTTTCCATGATTTCCCGAAATAACGTCATCATCTTCTCATCAAAAAGATAAACAAGGCCCAGGTCTCTTATTTTATCCCTATTCTCTTTAAAGATTGCCTGATTGTTGCATTTCTCCACTGCATATCTCAGCTGCTGTCGCCACGTTTTTAGATGTAAACAACATTCCGTGTCACCGAGTGCAAGCGCTTGGCTGACGCCGAATGCAGCCAAACGACATAATAAAAAGGGAATTATTTCGAAGACGTGTTGTTACTTTATAAGAGAAAATCACTAATGTTTATTTATTTAAACCTGAAAATACAGACATTCATTACAAATTCTCGCAATCATCATTAAATGGCTTTTTTGAGCTCTATTTCCTTATATGGATCTATCAAGGCGGAGCAACTGTCATGACGTCAAACCTCATTATGACCTCATTACCATATTGTCTTCATGTGTAGCCTTAACTGTACTGCGTTAGTATGGAGCAGATAAACACAGTGCATAGTTATGATGAGCAAGGATGCTTCTTATAAATTTTTTAAAACTAGTGGTCCCAGGGGATCTAGTGTTTCTCGCGGGGGGGGGGGGGGTGTCTATTGATAATATAGTGAAAATGTGTTAATTCTTTGAAAATCGTCACCTAAATGCATAGTTATGATCATGAGGGTACCTCTTTCAAATTTGTGAATTCCATGACCCTGGGTCATGGATTCTGGTGTTAGGGTAGGGCTGTATTGAATCTGTAGTGAAAATGCATTAATTTTTTGAAAATTTTCTCTGCTTCTCTGCATATAAGAGGCAGATTAACGTTTTAATAAGCAAGGGTATTTTTACCAGATTTTTTAACATCTGGTCCATTTGGTCAAGTGTTCTGGTCCTGGCCAGACTGTTTTAATTTGTATTCTACTGAGAAAGGTTATTCCCCTTTGCCATTCACCTTTGATAATGAATCACTGTAAATAATGTATTTGAAAGTTAAAAGAATAAAAAAATATGCAAGAATTTTTATTGTATAATACAAAAAGTACTTTTATAGTTTTAATGGTCAGGTAGTCCTGCAAATAATAGATAAATAAAAATGAGACAAAAATAACTTACCTTATTAAATGTTCTTCAAAGACCAAGAGAGGCCAGTGTGAGATGTATTATATGGGGTTAGAAATAGTACTGATGCACTAATATTTTCTTAAAAGTCTGCATGGTAATAATGATAAATAGGGTACAGATAAGAACTTACTTTATCAGTTGACTAATTATTTCGTTGCTATTTCTCTTGCTTTTGGACAACAAAGCTTCATCTATCAGTTTATATTATACTCTAAGGATCTTATACATTGTTGTATTATACTCAGGTGACCGTTAAGGCCCTTGAGCCTTTTGTTATATATACATGTATACACTTAAAAAGGTTGTAGCTATATGGAAGTTACCTTGTCAGCCTCCAATAACATACAATAATTAACACCTGATAATATTTTAGAAAATTTTGCAATTTTATTAAAACAAAATAATATTGTACCACTACATACGTATTTTATTTATAAATATATTTAGTTTTAATATTGAATATATTTTTTTCGAACTCAAATATATAGGCCACAGCCATAAAAGACCATAAAAGCCATGAAACCACATTATCAGGAGCTCAAGGTTTGTTATTTCCAACCGGCGTTACAATATTTGGTGGTATGGATCTATAAAAATTTGTACATGAATATGTCTCGCACATCCTTTAACTAATACTGGACTAATGAAAAACATGTCAGCTTTGGTACATGTACTTTTCCGAGATATTGCTATACCCCATGCCAAAAAAATGTTGCAGGGGGTACAATCTTTAATATTCTTGACACGTCTTTATCAGATCTGTTTTTATACCCCCGCTCAGAAGGAGAGGGGTATACTTTTTTTTACCCTTGAGGTTCTTTCCGTCTGTCTGTCATTCCATCCGTCTGTCTATGAGCCCAAATATCCTCTTCACTTCCCGAAGCTGGAGTAGTGGCATCAGCTACACAATGCAGTAATAAATGGAAAAGTCTTATAAGAGAGTACAAAAAAGTACTGATCATAATGTAACACAATGAGAGTATAAATTATAATTTAATTAATATATTAACAGTATATTCATTTATGTTTAAATAATGTGTTATGAATTATAATTGATACTATCAGTGTGTAGAGCGACGAACAATAACATCTTAATTATGAACTTGTTTACAAACTCTGGGAGATTGGATACAATAAGAGAGCGTCTTCATTTGACGGATAATTTAGTTTTGACGATATGTTGTTCTCTAACAGTGACATTTCCAATCAGACTTTGTGCAAAGCTGCAACCATCTAATTAACTGAAGAACTTGCAAGATACACAATGTTAATGTAAACAGAGGACATTGCCGTATCCTATAAGGAGATGAGACAGCTTCAGTGAGGAGCGGACTATATCAATATTTAAGAAGTGACACTGTAACTTACTGATTGTTATTACATGTACCAAATACGTGATCCCTATGATGCAACTTTTTGTACAAAAAGATGTGCGCACTGAGTATCAATAGCTTTTTACCATCTTAGCTCTTAGACGAATTATGAGAGCTTTTTACCATCTTATCTCCTAGACTGAATATGTGAGCTTTTGACATCTTAGCTCCGAGACGAACTATGAGAGCTTTTACAATCTTAGCTGTGAGACATTTGTGATGCATTAACTATGTGATCTTTCACCATCTTGGCTCCGAGACCTGCAGCCATTGAACTTTTTTTATGTACCATTGTTTTTGCCTTTGCTGTTACTTTATAATAAAACTAAAAACTTACAAAGTCTTCTTAATCCAAACACAATGAGTAATTGTGTTATATAACGGATTAATTGGTGCTGTGGACCAGGACACAGACTGGGAAGTCTCTAAACGCTAGAAAGGGAAAGACATTCAAGACTATACTGTAAGTAACTGTTTTATTATACCTTGATTTTTTTAAGTATGGACAACCAAAACATTGGGACTTGGTCGACTGTATTAGACTAAGTATAAAATAAAGATTTAATCATACTTTCACAGAATCTTTTTTACATAGTGCCATTGTGCACCTCTTATTTCACTTTTGATCAGACACATATTTCGGGTCTCCCGTAGCAAAACGTGGACTTTTCCAATATAAACATATGATAGGCGGGGTATCACTTTGTGAGCTCAGTGCTCACAGTACCTCTAGTTTTTACTACATGTATCTACATAATTCAATCAGTTAAACACTAGGTTACCATAAAGACGGCTTGATGTAAAATCAAGTTCCAAATGCTTTTAATTGTCTTAAATTAATTATGATGTTTATTATATTATTAATACTAGTTTTTATTCAAAGTCACATATTCATACATGCAAAATCGATCAAGGTAATTTTACCGCCCTTCGACGTTACGTTACAGAAAATGACGTTCTACTAGCATTTTCTTTTAAAACACTACCATACTTCAAACTCTCTTTTTCAAAAAATATAATCTATATCGAAAAAAGAAAAACGACAAAGCAAAGCTAAAGGTCTACACTATCAATTGAAAAAAAAAAAAGTTAATTTTTGAAACAGGGCCATTTTTGATGGTTCGTGGCTCTTGCTCTTTCATGGTCTTGATTCTACAGTTAAAGGTTTATCAAATGCAATTGGTACTAATGGGATTTCAAATGTAATAACACCATATGAGGGGGATCCTAGCAAATTCAAAGACTGGATAAAATCAATTGAAAATTATTCTTTCATGAACAAACTTACAGATGAAAAAGTCAAAATTGTGGCTTATGGTTCTAGCCGTGGGGCGAGTTCAGACTTTATTCAACGAAGTCTCACGAATAACCCAGGGGAGACCTGGAATGATTTGAAAAATGAGTTATCCACAAGATTTGCTGAAGTAACAGATCCTCAACATGCATTCATGTTATTAAGAAAAGTTAATTTTTCTTTGTCGGCTTCATCCATTGCAACTTGCCAATAACTGGACTTAAGGTCTATACTTAGCATTCCCAAAGATATCATCGATCAAAGGCAAAGGATATAAATTCAATTTAGTTATTTTATTTAGTTGTCTGAAATCAATACAAAATCTTTTCGATTCGTCCTTTTTGTCTACAACAACAATCGGAAAACTCCACGGAGATTTTGACCTTCGAATGACATCGGCACTTAACATTTCATCTTCTGCTTTTTCGACAATTTGGCGTTTATTTAATGGAACTCTGTATGGTCGCAGTTTGATTGGTTTATGATCTCCCGTGTCAATTTTCATTTTTATTGTGTTTGTTTGACACAATTCTGTTTCACGCCCAGCAAAAAGATCTTTATTAGCAATTAACAATTCTGAAATTCTCTTTTTATTCTCTTCCGGCACATCAATTTGATCTAAGTTAATTTGACTCGAGGTTTTGCATGTTTTCTCGATTTTATTAATGGAAGCGATTGTTGATTTATTTACATTATCTGCTCTACCAATAGGACAGCCTCGTTTAATTTTGATCATTTGGAGAAATGTTGTTCATTCTGCTCATTTACATATCGGCCATATTGGAGCTATAATGGCGACAGATTTCATAAAGGTTTATTTAGAGAACGTACAATAAATCGCAGATTTTTATGCACTACCTATTTCGGATAAAGTTCTTCCGCTGATGTTTAGATTTTTCATAATATCTTCTACCGGAAATGACAGTATTGTTGATGCCAAAGTGAAAGTTGCGACCGCCTTTTTGATATGAAATTCCATAGCGAGAGTATAATGTTTTAAAGAAGGAAAGAGCACAGAACTGGTGTCTTTATCATTTTTGATGATAAAATGTAAGTGTTTATGGCAAGTTGACAGTGTTCTTCCGTCGATTACTAGGTGCAGACAAATACCTATATTTATAAAATACAGATGATTTATCATTTCATGAAGAGTTACGACCGCCTTTTTAATTTGAAAACGGCAATTTCTTGCATCAGTGTTACCTACTCATTACCAAAAAAGATGGTATCATGAGTTGTCAACTGTTAAAACACAAATTTTCTGCCAAAGTAACTATGACGGAGGCTTAAAGAAAAAAAAACAAAACAAACTGTGCTTGCAGGTTTTAATATAGAAATTTAAAGAAATGGAATATTTCGAGTTTATGCAGAATCTTATGAATATTAATGAGAAGTAAATCACGTGGTAGCAACCTCATGAATAAACTGTACATCATTTCTCCATATGGAACATCTTTAGCTAGACCTGCTAATAAATTTAGAAAGAAAAGAGACGATTGGTCTGACGAGGATTACATACCTTTATGGGAAATGTCCAAACGCCTAAAACAACAAAAAGAGACTAACACTGAGTAAGAAATGGATTCTGAGGAGTTAGATGATACCAATGACACTGAGACTGGACAAGAGACATCAGATGTTGATGAAATGGACATTAATGAATGTTATATACCAAAGTCTCAAA